GCAAAGAAAGATCAGGCAAAAAAATTCATTTCTCTCACCTGCTAACTGCACGTTTGTGCGCGGTTTAGCTCCAAGGTAGGCAAGATTCACATTTGCTTTTCGTCCATCTATAATAGGATTCGGATCCTTGCATGCTCGTTCTGCCGCTGCACGATCTTTCATTGTGACCTGAAAGATCAGAGAAATTTTTCTAAAGAAAATATGAAGGAAGGACAAATGTTAAAAATAAAAATTAAGATTTTACTGTTTAAACAGACTTAGTGTAGATCTATAATTCAAAGAGGGGAAAAAATCCAGTAATTCTGTCAAAATTTTGACTCATAGCTCATTCAAAATTAATATTTTATCTGAGCTGTTAATCTCTCGTTAGAAACTCAATTCTGAACTGCTAAAGAGCTATTTATACGAACATAATCTGATTACAATTCTTAGATGGCGTTCCATATACTATCAGGTTTCACCCCACACTAGTCCAAAATCCACTCACAAATCCATATCCTCTGCTCTTTTGGGTCTGACGATCTGTAATGACCACAGCTTCCTCAATGTCTCCGAACTGCTCAAAGTATTCATGAAGTGTTTTATCGCTTGTATGATACGGTAGACCACCGACAAATATTTTTGTAAACATCGTGTCGCGACTTCCTGAATTATGATTCGATTTGATCACACAAACATACATTACCAAATCTGCACATTGTATTGTTTAGAGTACAAAGTCAGTCACAGCCCGCTCCACACCTTGCCTGTAGTCACGGGTAAAGGGGGGTCATGGCACTAACCCACGTGACTTGAAGCGGGTCCGAATCAGGTCTTGCATTCAACGTCTCTTTCTCTGTCTCTGGCGCACCATCACACTCACATACACATACACCCATACAAACATCATTCGCACACCGCAAAACCGGGCCTACCTATGACTGAATCTGTTCCGGCAGAAGCGAGCGCGGCTGCTGCCGCCTGTACCAATGGATCACTCAATTGTCCATACACTGACGAGGGAAGCATAGCTGCAAGAATTAGACTAAACACTGATTCTAAGTAATGCTTAGAATTGTTCGTTTGGCAAGCGTAATTTAATCACATTTTTTGAAATGTTTGGGAAAAGCTCCAGGTTGTAGTTTGCCCATTGCCACGAATCTATAGGCCTACAATGTATTAGAAAATTTGCAAAGTTTGAAATC